AGGATGGGAGTGGGGATGGGATCAGGCCAATGCAGGATAAGACTGTGGATTTTCTCCCATGTTCCATACACCAAGGTGTGCCTCACTTCTATATCTTAATTTTTTTAAAAAAAATTTTCTTCCTTCCTTCCTTTCATAAGTGACAGAGAGAAGGAGAGACAAAGAGGGAGAGACACAACACCTTCAACAAGGTCCTGATGTGGTGATCCATGTCTAGCCTTCAGCCAGTAGTGGATCATGGATGAGCTTGTCCCAGCATTCTCAGGGAGGTCTCTGGGTTGAACTAATAACCTTCCTATGTGGGACTGCCTTGCAGAGTATCATATCTTACCAAACCTGCCACCATATCTTCATCTTTGAGACTGTAGCTAACTTTGGCAGGTATCTTTCTTTTTTATTTTTTTTGAGAGGTTTTTGCTATAGGGCATATGAGCTCGCCAGAAAGACAGAAAGAGACCAGAGAGACAGAAAGCGAGAAATCACCTCCCAGGGGGGTGGGGGGATGGCCATGCCACAATGCCTTCTCCTCCATTCTCCTTTCAGGATCTTGGGCATGCATGCACACATGCCCGGCATGAGTTTAAGCCACCGGGTCCAGGACTTGAACCATGGTCGACTACATGGGAGTTCAGTGACATAGCCATTATGCTTACTGCTGGTCACCCCATTGGTAAACATCTTTCTAAAACACCAGAGACATTTGGGGGAAGCTATGTACTGTACAATTTCAGAAAACAAAACAAAATAAAAGCAAAAAAAAAAAAAACCCACAAAACATGATATGAGTCCTCCTGAGAAGTAAAATAGAAGCTGAGATTCATGATCCAGGACTGACTGACGGCTACTCCCAATATCTACATGGTTCACTCCCTCATCTCCTTCAGGTTCTATTTCAAAGGCCACCTTCAAAGTGAGGACTTCTCTAACCTCTCTATACCTACTCCCTTTTATCCTTGATAATCTCTATTCCCTTTCACCATTCTTCTTGCAGCTTATATCACTCACTGTCTGATGTGCAACACATTTTACTTGTGTATTTTTTTATCACTTGGCTCCCTCGATAGAACAGACATCATGAGGTAAGAGACCTTGTCTGTTATTCTTCACTGAAACATCAGTCTAACCTATGCCTGGTAGTTACTCATCCTACTATCCTAAATGAATGAGGAAATCCCCAATCACATTCTTGGAGTAGGGGAGCCACACTTTCACTAAAAACTTGTGTCGTTAACCACATTTCATAATTACTATCTTTGTTATATTAGGAGAAATACATTTTTATATCCTATTTATCATTACATAATACATATGGCCCCACAGATCCTTATATACTTTCTGTAGGCCCTATAACTACAATTTATTACAGAAATACAGTCAATAGGAGTAATCTGCATAACCATACTTACACAAATTTATACAATCACAGAAAGAGATATGTATACCTGGGTATGTGACTGCAAAGTTAACTGTTTTTTATTTCACTGTGTTCACACCTCCTGCTACAAATGCCACACGTGTGATTTTTCTCTCAATTACGGTTTACAGCTTATAAAAACACTTTCTTCATTTTGTTCCTTGAAAAACAAAGTAGTCATATTTTTACTGCATGTTTTTATTGAGACAAATCCCAAGGGGAATATACTAAACTGTTAAACACAGCTGAAAAGATATCTGAGAATGAGCTTTCTGATAGAAGGATAGATTACAAAATTACTCACAGCTCTTAATCTGATAACAGAGGCAGTATACCCCACACATACCAATGAAGCCTTTTCTTGGTATGTCTTACTACAAAAAAGAGAATTAGAGAAAGAGGAGGTCAGAAAAACTCCAAGGCCTGGAAATGTAATATTCATCATTTATCATTAATCTATGCCTCAGTGGTAACCTTCACTGATGGCTGGGGAGAGGTGGTGTGGTGCCACTGGGACAGCATGAGGCTAGCCTCAACTGCATACTCGCCTTCCTGTATGCCATGGGAATGTTAAGGTATCACTACTGGCTGTGCTTATCTTGTAAAGTTGTTGTAGGGACAGAAAGATGATACAGGACAAAGCAGCTTGAAAATTTTAAGGTCTTTAAGTTCCAACCTCTTATTTAAAAAACATAGTATTTCATAGCAAACAGGATGATTTCTAAAGTTGTCTTTCTTCTGCGATGTCGCCTTAATAATTATAAACTAGACTAATGCTACTTTGAATGATTTACTTTACCCACAGTGAAGGAAATTGATTTTTAAAATGTACTTCTTAGACTAGCTCTCATTAAAACAAACTTTGGGTTCTATTTCATAAGTGTGATATTTGTCTGCTTAGCTAGATTGTAAACTCCCCTTCGAAGGCAGAGATTTCCTTTGCTCTTTTTTTTTAATGTTCTGTGAAGACTCAGCACATACAATGCTAATGTACAGTTCTCTGCTATTTGGGGTGAGGCAAATGCAGGCCTGGCAGCAACTCAGTATCTGTTAAGAACAGCGTTAAAGTAATCCCAAATTGACATTAGTCAGTGTATCAATCATTTATTACTGAGAGGTGACTATTTTGCACCGAGCAAAGCTCATGAAGAAACTCTGCCCCGAGGGCTTGATGTCAAACACACTTGTTTCAACATACACCGGCCAGGAAAGGGAAGCTAAGTCTGGCACTTGAGTTTCTGCCATAATTTTGCCCTTAGGAGGCACAGTTAACAAAGTGGGCATCCTAAGAACAAACACAATGGACTAAGGGAAATCTATGGGCTAGAGTAAAGAAAGCATAGATGTCTCTAGTGAGGCTCATTCAGCCTAAAGATAGTAGAAAAGAAACCAGGAAACCGGAGTGGAGAAATGCAGGCACAGACAGGCTGGAAACCAGCTCTAGTCAAGCCAAGGGGAAGGGAAGAGGAGGAAGGGGCAGAGAGATGAGAAGTGATCCAAATACATAAAGACCTGTGTCTAGCCATGGGTTCTTCACTCTATACTTTGGAGCAGCCACTTAGACAAAGTCTATGTCCCACAGTATTCACTTTGTTTTGAGACAACCACATTTGAAAAAAGTGTATTTGAGACTAACACATAGATTGGCAAAAGGAAAATTTGACTAATTCTACTATGAACGATTTATTTTACCTACAGCAATGGAAATTGATTTTTTTAAATGTACTTTTTAGACTAGCCCTCATTGAAACAAATTTGTTTAAAAGTCAAGATTAATGTGAGACATAGGCTTATATAGTCCTAAAAGGAATTTTTTTAAAAGGACTGTCTAGAAAAGTGTCATTTTTCTCCTATAATAAATTTTAAAGTAGTGAAAAATCTTTCATAGACACCGGCTGTAGTTAATGTGGTACATTTTATCATTCAGATAAACCTTATCCCCTAATTCTGAGAGTATATAGTGAACTCTTAATGCAAACCTCTACTAGGATGTATTAAGAACAAAGCAATCTTTGAAAAAGCAGTCATTGGCAGATCATCTCCTGTGTGTCACAAATTCCACCATGTTAAAAGCAAAATATATTTAAATTAAAAGAATAGACTTATGCACTGTTAAGTTTGTAAACAGAACAAAAATTTTTTGAGACACCAGTAGACTTTATAGGCAACAGTACACAATTTTCGGGCTACAAACATTTTTTATGAATGATGTAATTTTGAACCTGTGTTATTCAGTCGTTTCAAAAGAATGAACATTGAATACACCACAAACTTGCAATGATTGGAACCAAAATATCTTACTTCTGTTCCTTTCTAGAAGTTTAATGTGCAAAACAAAGCACAGTAAGCTTAGAGATAGAAAGAAAAACTATATACCTGTAAATGAGCCAAGCACCACTTACACAGTTACCATAAAAACACAATTTATGTCTGAGTAACACAGAGTAACATGATGTACATCATTTTCAGATCATCTTCATGCACAAAAAATTCATTAGTCAGCTATAATATTTAGCAGTAAAGAGAAATAATGTTTTTCTGAATCCATTTGCATGGTAATGTGCATGTGTCTGGCTGATGGAAACGACAGAATAAACCTCCACGCAATGCTACGAAATGTGAACAGTCTTCTTAAAATTCAGGAGAGGGTCCAGATAATTTATCCTCGCCAGCGTCAGTTTTTACAATTCTCTAATATTCATCGAGCGTCTTAACTTGGCCATTAAGGTATCTTGATTATTTTGTCTAAGAGAATTGACAATATTTCATTCTACCAGAGGGTTTCTTTGGACATAAAACTGTGATGAGGTAAAATACACTGGGCTACTATTCATGTGTGAACCCCTGGAACCCTTTCCAACTGCCAAATTAGCAAATGGCTCTTTTAAAACATAAAAGGTATTAAATGGAAAATGTACTTTAGATTCTGCATTGGCAATAGTCTGTGAAAGTACTTTCCATGGTGTTTTAATTATTGGGTCAGCACCAGTACTAGCTGGACTGACCGACCTCTGCTTATAATCTATTTTCACCTAAAAAGATGGATGTTCTCCACCAAGCTCTAGCAAAGAGATAAGGTAGAACTGAGAATGATGGATCACAAGCCCTGTGCGTTTGCCAAAAATGAAGAATTCAGACCCTCACAGAAACACCTGCCCCTTGTGAGGAACTCCTCACAAGAGAGAGGACGCAGGGCTGGGAGCAAGTAAGTGACTGGGTTCAAACCCTGCCGCTGCATCACCCTGGGACTGGGTGACCGGATCCCTTTTGTAAGGACTGAGTCAGATCGCAGCCTTGAAACTTGCGTGGCCATAACACTCATACATCACCCACTGCCAGCGCCCCTCTCCCTCTTGAGTCATACAGGTGGCCGGCAGAAGCCATTCCCTAAAACAACAAGCCCGATTCTAGTTTCCACCTCTTTCCATGGCCGCATCCCGTCTGTTCCTGAAGCCCCCCAAACTCCCGCCGCCTTGCTGGTCTTGCCCTCGCGAACAGCAGTCAGCTTTCTTGGGGGAACAAAGAAAGCAGAAGCGCAGGGGCGACGGGTGGGGTGCGGGATGTGAGGGGCGAGCTGTAGTTTTACCTTGCGGTGCCCAGGAGCCGGCGGTGGAGAAGTCAGCGGGCAGGGACCACCCGCGCGCTCCGCGCCTCCCTGCCTCCTCGCCTCAAGTCAGCTGTCGCCCGGCATCTGGCTCGTGCCCTCCGCCCGGCTCCGCATCTGCTCACAAAGCGCTCGGGGCGCTGCGGGCGGCGAGGGCCTCCGGGTCACCTGCGGCCGGACAGAGCCGAACG